CTTTTTTACAGAAAGAGGGTGAAAAATCCAAGTACGTGCCTATCATAATGATGCCAATCTGTGCAGCTGATCAATGCCCTTTCGATATGGAATGCGAATTACAGAAAAGTAAGGCATCCAAAACAAAACCGACTAAACCAGCGCGGAAGGTTGTACAATCAAAAGAGACTGAGAAAGACAATGATAAAAAATTTACAAAGAAACGTGGATTTGTTTTGCAACGACTAACAGATTTCGATTTATTATCTCAATGGTAATGCTTGTATTGTGCAAATAATCTTCAAGTGTTTTAATTTGTAACGTCAATTACCAAGTAATTGTTTTATCACATTGTTGTAATAAAATTTTAAATACATAATATGTTTTATTTACTACGCCATGCATCTAAGGCAAATAAAATGCCACAACACCGGTAGAAGAACTGTTATCTTATTTCAAAAGTGAAGAGACCGCGAGCGAGTTGATGCCCACTGCAGGTGCAATAACGGCCACAGTCACATATCACTATGAACTAGGCCGCAGTCATTGCGACAATGATCGCAGGTTGTACAGGCGCAAAGTGGGTTACTAACGATGGATCGATTGTCAGAAATATGTTCAGGCTACCATGCGCCCGCGCGCAGCGCGTTTTAGGACCATAGAGCCGTGGGTGAATCTACTCCTTCCTCCCGGTCATGGAGTATATATACTACACGGAGTATACGATAAATTTCACTCCAAGATAAGGATAAAGAAGCTCTAATACAGTAGATGAAAAAGGTTCGTGAAACAATGTTTGTGTAGATGAATCACAGATACGTGACGTTCTCGCCTGAAGACCAAGAATAAAGATAACCTATCATTGTAGACTTTACGACTGTTATCTTAAAAGACAATATAATAACATTAATTGAAACATATTATGTAAACATAATAGGACAAAAAAACAAAATAAATTGAATACAGTCAACCTCAAAACAAATGGTTAAAAATCCAGTTTTAATTGCGGAATGCCTCACTCAATGTGAAAGGAAATTATATTTTTCAGCTGGAGAATTTAGCAAGAAGCACCAGTACATATACAGCCGGACTGCAAATAGCAAGATCTTTTTGCGTAAAATAGAGGATGCCCCTCTCAATGCATTGACTCAAAGGCTGATTTAGACTTACAAGAAAAATGACTACATTTCGAGATTACTCACTTTTATCAAAATATATATTTTTTGGTCTCATAAATATTAGTTAAATACTTATATTCTTCACGAACAATTTTATTCCCAACTTCAACAAAATATTATGTAATCGTTTGCTTTCTGCTTACACCACATCTATTGTTATTCTGGTTGTCGTTCGATTAATCATAGATACGTGAGTCTATACGCTGTATTAGAAATTGCGATAAACTACAAAAAAAAAACTTAACCCCAATTACGCTATTCTAAAACTAACTTACTCTAGATATCGCAATTTTGCAATAATTTCTTGAAAAGGCTTAAAGTAGAATATGAAAAACATGTATTTGTTTTAAATAAAAACAATCCTAAAGGCATGTGGAAAACAATCAATAAATTGACCAATTTGAGGAAGTCAAATTATGCCTCCTACTGAATTATTAAATTAAGATTAAAACGATAATAATGAACCTCAAAAATGGCTGCGCTGCCGGTATTGATCATATTCCCACATTAGTCATCAAAAATGCTATGGATAGCTTTATGCTAACCTTGTTATATTTGTGTAATCTTTGCCTTAATCTTTGGTGTTTTTCCGGACATTCTAAAGAAGGCTCTTATTAATCCCTTTTACAAGAATGGCACCAGATACAGTGTCGCTAATTACAGATCCAACCTCTTTTTCTTGTACATCAATAGTGTTAGTTATTATACATTTATATTGGCAACACCGAATATAGAATCTATGGTTTGAGTGTCTTTGGATGTTACTAGCTTCCTACATATTTATTTATCTATGGATGTTACTAATATCGTAGACAGAGAAACCTATAGACTAATGATCGGCGTGGCCTCGAGTGAGAAAGGACTTGCTACATATTTATTTATCTATGAGAAAGGACGATAACGAATTTTTAGGTTATACAATAATCTTTATGACTTTTAAACACATTTAGATAAAAATTTTAATTGTTCTAAGAACTGAACTGAACAAAATTCACCAATCTTAAGCTCACAAAACACTTTTTTCTCACTTAAATCAACTTGTAAACTCCTTAAATCACTACGCTGTTAAAGTTGTTTAGCAAATTGTAGAGTTTGCTAAACAAAAAAACCCGGCACGGAGAAAGGGACAAACAATCACACCGCTCTATCTCATTTCTATGCAAGACGTATGCATAAATCTATCTTTTTCATGTGCGAATGTGAAAGAAGGCGTCAATTTGTCTATAGGTTTCTCTGTCTACGACTAATATGTAATAAGCTAATGCGTAGTATCTCTCTAGTATATACACAGTAATCTATGGTAGTATCCTTTTAATGTGTAGTGTGTGATTTTGATGATTGTCGTTAAGTTAGTAAAAATAAAGTTATGTTGTGTAAAGCTGTAAAGGTGATTAATAAAACTATGAATATATGATAAGGAATGAAGTTTCTTTAATCAATTCCATTAACAAGTAGCTTATGCTCACTATCCCTCAGTTACTATAAAATTATTACCTACGCAGATGACACAGCCTTGATTGTACACGGGAAGGACTGGGTGTAGGTGAAACGAGATACAGAGGATTCTTTCAGTGAGGTTATGAGTTGGGTTGGTGCTAACTTGCTAACATTAAATTTAGATAAAACCAAGCAAATAACATTCTCTCACCGAGTCAACACAACTACCCACCGATTTTCATATAAGGGCACACACATGTGTTAGTGAAGATACAAATTGAAACTGCCCAAATCTAACTTCAACATTTGAAATAAAATACTGAGGACTAATCTTTGATAACGGTCTCAATTGGTTTATATATATACAATCCCTTACTTCTCACATACTGAAAATGGGTCCTACTTTTATTAAACTTGGAAATTCTGTTGATCGTGACACATTCATGTGTGTCTACTATGCACTTGTCCAACCTTTGCTTCACTACCGCATCGTCTCGTAGGGAGGTGTTGGTGTTACAACACTGCTGCCTCTGGGAAGTGCTCAACGCGCCATTCTAAAAATAATATCTAGGAAACCACGTAGATATAAAACGTCCCTTCTTTATCAAACGTGCTCACGGTGCGGCAGCTATTTATTTTTCACACGATACTTCGTAAACACAGAGCACTGACATACGTTCCACCTTAAAAACGCAAAATAACCATAATTTGCTCTACAGTCACTCACAGGACTACACTTGCTAAACATCGTTTATATTTGTATCTCCTTTCGCTTTTACAACGCGGCAAATAAGGTTAAAGATATTTACTCGCTATCCCTGATAAACTGTAAAAAAGTGATACGAGATTGATTGTTACAAATGAATTTTAAAGAAACTGAAAAACTTATCCAAAAATGAATATTCTTCTATGTTGTATTGTATTCATTGTGTGTAAAAATAGGGGGCGACTAAATCTAGTCCAATTCAATCTTCGGAAGATACAAGTTTGCGCGTTTACCGCTAAAAAGAACCTCTTTGTCGTATCACCTGTTTCAAGGCACTCGCCTTATTCTTACCTAGTATCGGAATCCTCGGTGTCGACATATTGAGTGACATGCAGTTTCGTGGTCACTTGGAACAGAAGGCCAAATTAGCCTCTAAAAAGCTTGGCGTGCTCAGCAGTCCGGGACAGTATTTCATGCTGGCACACCGCCTGCGACTTTATAAGGCGCAGGTTCGGCCTCACATGGAATACCGTTCCCATCTCTGGGCTGGGGCTCCCCAGTACCAGCTCCTTACACTTGACTGCATCCAACGCAGAGTAGCTTGAATCGTCGATGACCGAGTGCTTTCAGATCGGCTCGATTCACCGACGCTGCAAAGAGATGTTGCAACCCTTTGCATTTTCTTTCGCATCTACCACGGGAAGTGCTTTGAGGAATTGTTTGGATTAATCCCAGCTGCCAAATTTCATGAACACACATCGCGTCAAACCGCTCATCACATCCCATCAGATACCATCTACACCATCTGAATGTTTGACGGTCCACCACTGTACGTTTCACCAGGAGTTTTCTTCCGCGTACTACCTCTCTGTGGAATAGTTTACCACCGGCGACTTTTTTCGGACCGATACGACTTAGGGAACTTCAAGAAAAGAGTTCTTTCCAAAAGGCCGGTAACGCACGAGCAATTCCCCTGGTGTTGCATTTTTGTTCATGAGCGGCGTTAGTCATTTACCATCAGATGAGCCGTATTATTTTTTTCCCTCTCTCCTGTAAACACACACATAGACACATGTGATACTTTCATATTACTTTTCTTGCAGAGTGAAGACGCAGGCAGCTGTGACGTAGTTAATACTAGTGTAGCTGCCGTCGTTAACCTCACAGTGACACTTTATAATTGATTTTGAAATTACGACTTTTGTATAAATAATATGTTAAGTTTCTAATGTTAGTGAATAAAAGTTATTATCATTATATTAACCGTCCTATCGCAGAGGATGTTGCAATGTGGCGTACTGTGGTGACGTATCAAAATTTCGTGAAAACCTTTTCAATAAAATACATAGCAAACTAGACTGTATGGTTTATGACTTTTACCAGTCTTAAGTGGCGAATTGTAACAACGACTGTGAGTCTGTCAGTCAAAAGCACAAAAGTCAAAACATGAAAATAGTTATTTTATTTGATTTTATAACTCTAATTTAAATAGAACTTGTATTACATTTTTGTTAATTAAGATATTAATGTAACATTCTTGTTAAAAGGCCAGAAACATGCTTACAATAAAAAAATTACCCGCATTGACGACAACTAAAATTCAGTCAAAACTATATTTCGTCCCAAGAAATGGCTTATTAGAAAGACATATAGATAAATATTGTGGATCTAGTGTCTTTAAATTGTGTAAATCGTTGTCAATGTTACATAACATAACAAATAAATCACGGCACCCAGTAAGTGAAATCTTATTATGATTGGTCTTATTGCACAATAACATAAATTGTTATATGTATTATTAAGTAACAATTTGCAAATGAATATTAAATTTAAACAATAAATAATAAATATAAACAATTACCACTGTTTGATACTACGATCTTCCTAAAAACTTGAGAATCAATGTCCGTTAGTAAACTCTGATGAAGAGGAAGAGGTAGAAGATACACCATCAGAGGCATTGAGAAAAAATGGCTCTCTCAGAGTCGTTTACTATGGCACTCATGAGACAAAAAGATCACCATTGTTAGTGATGATTTTATGATACGGATGACAATGTCGTAACAGGATATATATATATATATATATATATATATATATATATATATATATATATATATATATATATATATATATATATATATACATACATATATATCTATTATCATCATCATCATCATTATTACAGCCCTTCACAAGTCCACTGCTGAATATAGGCCTCCTCCAAATAATGCCACAAAGCACGATTCTGAGCCACCTGCATCCATCGACTTCCTGCATGTCTTACCAGGTTGTAACTCCATCTAGTGGGGGGTCACCCTACATGATGCCTACCGGTACGAGGCTGCCACTCGAGAACCTTTCTTCCCCATCGGTTATCGGTTCTTCAAGAATATATATATAATATTGATTGATACATGATTTGTACTCTGAAGTACAAATCATACTTCAATATGTATGTCAAATTTAGTAAACTAAACAACACAATAGAGAGCTAACATTTTATTATAAAATTAATGTCATTAATGCTATAGACCTTGCAAAAAATATGCAATAACTTTACATTAGGAAATAATTGTGTACGAACAAATTTATATACTACCAAAATATTTAAAAAATTATGAATAAATAAATTTAAGAAGCATCAATTTAAGAGTGTTATCAAGACACTTTTTGAGGAAAATTATCATCTTTCAACCATTTTCAGAATCAAATTTTTCTGTCCGAATCAAAACAATACCCTACGCGTCGAGCACAATAGTGGTGGTGCGTACAAGTTACAACTTGTTCAATTATGCATTAGTAAAGATAGTCAAAAAATATTCAAAAATAAATAAGAGATCATGTTGGATTAAAGGGGGTGCCGTATTAGACAGGGGCCTGATTACCGGGGGATCGACTTTATTAGGAAAAAATTGTTAAGTAAGAGTTAATATACAACTAAAGGGTACCTATATTACTGATAATTATGCCTGAGAATGAGGTTATCGCTACAATGCTATTTGTAAATGTTTTCATACTACAGTAGAGCGTCGATTATCCAAATTAATTGGAGAACATGGGTATTCGGAAAACCGGTTTATTCAGATAATCGAACTATGTTATTGTATCTTCCAATATATACTAATAAAAACATATTAAACAAATTTATATTACGTACATATATGTAATATAAATTTCATTTATTACAGTTGTAACACAAGCTAGAGCAGTGATACCATCCGTGTTTACTTTAGACCAGATGTGACTAATTAATGGCGCAAAGCAAGAGTTTTTCGTGGCAAAGCCTTCCAATTGAGTCCAGTTTCGTCAGGATTGTAAATGTTTTCTAATTTTATCATTAGTTGCTTAATTTGATTTTGTAAGAATCAGCCGCTGAAGAACCAGCATACAGTTTTTATCCTTGTATTTGAAGCTCATGAATGCCATGTCTTGACTTAATCCATTTTAACCAGCCCATGTTTGCATGAAAGTTTAACGACCCTCCAAGTTTTTCATTAAATGTTTTGCCTTTTAATTTAGAATGGCATCAGAGTCTCCTTGTGATCTTTTTTGTGTAAATCACTTGTAAACATCGTCATCGAGATCAATATTCATGCCGTGCTTCATAATTTTACAACTTGTCGACCCATCAGTAAAATCATGCTTGTGTATAAAATTGGATATGGTCGTCTTTTGGTTTTTATATCCTTAATTGTCCACTTACCCACTTTGTAATCCCTAGATAATTTGGTTGCAGATTCGACTTTCTCTAATTGTTTGTTAATCTCATATATATTTCTTATGGAAATAATAACACATTTATATTTAGGCATTTTAAATTGTAAACTAATAGTGCAAAATTAATACATAAGTGTACATTGCTATCGATACTGAACATAGGCCAATATGGAACACTGCATGGGGTAGCAAGAAAGTGGTCGCATCCCAATGACGTGCCGAGGTAGCAGTTCGGTTAAGCGGTCGTTCGGTGATCGACATTCGGATAATCGACATTCTACTGTAATTGTATAAAATATTATATTGTAAATTCGTTTTTTTAAAAGTTCTGCTGGGTTTCTTGCTGGTTCTTTCCAGGACAGAAGTTTTTTCTGAACCAGTGGTAAAGCTTAAATGACATTCAATAAGTATTCGTATAATCTATATTGAATAAAAATAAAAATAATAATAAACTATATGCTCATTTGCCCCCATTTCCATAAAAAATAAGATTCTATTCTATTCTATTTCACTTTGTTGTTTCCAGCAATTAAAACATTTCAATGAAGAGTATAAGGCAGCAATGGCACTTCTCAGACGATCAACACCTCAGTTTCCATCACTGATAACTGACAGGCTCCATGCACGGAATATACATACAAGTTCATCAAGTTATAATCAAAATTCTGATAAGGACAAGGTAAGACTTAAGTCCCACTAAATGGTACTCATCAATCATACTTCTGCTGTGCTAAATTCCACCCTGATGTTATTTATAGAGTATTGTGCATTTAAAAAGAATATGAAAATATAAAATAATACTGGTACATTCTGTCTTTTTTGTTATAGATTAAGGGGGACAAACAAGTACACAGTCTACCCGATGGTAAGTGGATGCTGTGGCCCACAGACATTTACCATCTACTAAGAATCAAAATGCAAATGCATTGCCACCCCTGAGTACTAAGATGGAGTGCCTCTTTTCCAGTAAAAAGGCTCTCTGGTTCTCTACACTCACCATACGAAACCATTAACTTGCATTCTGTGAGAGCATGGTCCTTTTCTGGTCAAACAGATCCATTCCTGCTACAATTATAATATAGCTGCAGTATGGCTCTGCCATATGGTAATTTTTGGATTTAATTTTACTAAAATAAGTTTCTACTTAGTCTAGCCTATGATGAGGATGATAAAATTATTAAAAATTAAATGTTTATTTATTGCAAGAAAAAATTGTGTTTGCAGTCATCTTATTTTCTCACAGACCGAAATGTTTCACAACCTATTAATTTAGCGTGTATTTATTATTTTATATCTACTTCTTATTATATATTGTCTATGAAATCCACAAAATTGCTTAAACTTAAGGCAGTTTATTAAAACAATTTTTATCAAGCACAGAAGTTTCTAACTAAATTTTAAGATATTTGCACTTCAATGTTTTTATCAATTTGCTTAGATGTGTATGAATATGGGACAATATACACATGTGTTTTATTGCTGTATTGAATTGTTATTGTTTTTAGGATAGAAAAGATAAGAAGAAAAATGATGATGCTACTGTGCCTTCCCTGTTAATGAAGGCAGCTTTCTGGATGTTCATAACAAGTGTCCTCATTACTATGAGCACATTGCTAATTCCAGGTGACAACACACAGAATGAGGTAAAATTATAGTGAAAATTAGAATTCACATTATAAGAAAATCACAGTCCTTAGTTAAAGCCATTTTCTTGAAACTATTATATTTGAATGTAAAAAGTTAGCACACATACAGGTAATAAATACTGAAATAATGTATATGCATTAGTTTATATAATGTACATAATAAGAGATAAGTATTTTGGTGTTAATTAAAAACAATAAAAGAAAGTACCTAGCAGTGGATGCAATGCCCCAAAAATGTTAAAAAGCTTGGAGTATAATAATGTTTTTTCCTTCGTTAAAAGGTAATCAATCACAGCGTCTAAAGATATTTAAATATTTATGCTTTTAATTGCATTATTTTTATTTCAGATGATTCGCTATGTGTCATGGAATGAATTTGTTTACAACATGCTAGCAAAAGGTGAAGTGGAACAACTGATTGTAAGGCCAGACATTGAAGTAGTGACCATCATTTTATATGAAGGTGCTATCATTAAGGGTAAAAAGGGTAAGTACAGTGCAGTTTAAGTAATTTGTATATTTTTATTCATGCATTATAGAATTATCAGTTCTTCATATACATATATAAAAAATCTTAAATAGTACATGATTGTATTAGGTTCATACTTTATAAAATATGGACATATATATATATATATATATATATATATATATATATATATATATATATATATATATTGTAGCTAAATAACAATTTATTTAATTTATTAAGTGCTTACTCTTTTTACCAGGAACAAAATGAAATCTTTGTATGAACACTGTTATCCGCCTTCTGACCATTTATCAAGTCTATTCTCGGGAATGGGTAAAGTTAAATTAAATTGAAGTTAATAGGCAATACTAAGGACTGTAATATCAAGGAGTTCTAAAAAAATTTAAGCTTCTAAATTAAAACAACCGAAAGATTTACAGACTTGACGACTCCGTGGCGCAGTGGCTTAGCAATGAGTGGCTGCGCTGGAGGTTGCGGGTTCGAATCCCGCACGGAACAAGTATTTGTATGGCCTACAAATAATTGTTCCGGGTCTGATTGTTTGTCGTTGTGCAATTTATTTTTATAAACTAACACGATACAGGAGAAAATCCTAGTGTAGGGGCAACTTTTTTTTAAATAAAAAAATATGTTCATTCATGTCACATATTTTGATACCTATGCAAACTCGAAGACTGCGGTTTCCAACTCGCCCGTAAAGTGTGGCAACTAGGGAAATATCCCCTTTATGTGGTAATCTTTTGGGTGTCTGTGTCCTATACTGGACTTTTATAGGCTGAATTGGTAAAGGTAAACTTGTAACTCTACATCACATAACATTACATTATAATGAATCAAACTCATACCGTCCGGTCTTTGCCATCGTCTCTTGCAATACCAGACGGCTCAAGTAGACCTGGCACGTTGACTGTGGCAAGACCGCCGTATGATATCGTTAAGTGCTGCATGTCTCGAGAAGCGACCTGCACTTTTTTGGCACGATAGCCCGTGATGTCCTAGCTTGTCGACGTCACTGCCACACGGACATTTATGAGGAGCGCAGACCGGAACCCCAAGCCGTAGACAGGTTGCGTTTCGGAGCGTGTCAGGCTCAAGAAATGTTCCTGTATTTGACGAAGGGTACGCGTGAAGCCAGTAGCCAGCCTCATGCGTAAAACCCACGGCCAAAAGCCTAGCATGTGCCGAATCTGTACTAAAGCTCAAAAGATTGTCATAAGTCAATTTGCAGTTTATGTCGTCCCAGCTCCTCTGTGAATTTAGAGGAAATTGAAAATTTTGACCAGGGCATGCAATTAAGAAAGCGTTTCTAGCTTCTTCCAGGCCAGCAATCTCAAAGTTTGAAGGGGATGCCCTTAAAATTTTACTTATGAGATTTGCTGAACTATGGACAGAAGATAGGAAGGCTGGTAAAGATACACTGGAAATTTTGCGAATCCCTAAACCACCATAACGGATATATGTGATGGAGAGCCATTGTAATCTCACTCAGACTGACTTCCGGGATATCGTCGGAATAGTGTCAGATAAGACTTGCTCTTGGATCATTACTCACACTTGCCTGTGGCTCCAACGATGATGTGTACAGCTGCCCATAGAACTTTAACTATATATGTGGCCCTGTTTTTTTCTTGTTTGTAATTGGCTAGTTTGACAGCGCCGTAGAATAGTGGCTAAGCGTCTGGACGTCAGGGCCGCGGGTTCGAATCCCGTACGGACCAAATGTATTTATGATCTACAAATAATTGTTCTGGGTCTGCATGTGTATCTTTGTGCAACTTATATGTGTAAATCACCTCCACGATACTGGAGAAAGTTCTACAGCTGTGGTAATTGAAAAAAAAGAATAAAAGAAAGAATTGGGTTGTAACTTCAGCATCGTTATTCACGGAAGTGCTATGTGTGAAATAGTGTATTTCAATTTTCAGGCAACTCATCGAGTGCATCATATGAATGTAGGTGATATCCATCGTTTTGAAGAGAAGCTTCGGGAGATAGAAAAGAGCTTAGGAGTTAAAGAAGGTATTATTTAATCCACATATTAATATTATTACCAATGTCCATCTGTGGCGCAGTAACTTAGTATTTATTTGCATTGATTCGAATCTCGCACGTTACAAATAATTGTTTCCTGTCTTAATGTCTGCCCTTGTGCTATTTATTTGTGTAAACCGTCTTTACATTAAATTAGAAAATTCTAGTGTCAGGGTAACGTTTTTTTAAATTGCATGATTTTGTTTGCTGTCTTGTAAATCGAGAGTGTAATGTGAGTTTCCTGATAGTTAGTTAACTGTTAGTAAAATTATTTGTGAATCATATCGCATATATGTGATAAAATTTCTAATGTATGCTAGTGTTTTGAATAGCCATGCGAAATACTTATTACGATTTGTATCAATTATTATACTGTTTTGAAATAGATATGTTTTTTTTGACAATTACCTTCTATCTATATACAATTTAGAAATCAATTGCCGTGCGTTAGTTCCGCAAAAACTGAAAAATTGCGACTGATCATGATGAAATTTATTGCTTGTTTGAGTGGGTCCCCGCATGATTTCGATTGGCAATTAGAACCGGTAGTACACTGTTGTCGAGCTTGAGAATTCACCTGTGCGATGCCGGCGGATTGCTAGTATTAAATAGATGTTAGAAATTATGGTTTATTGATATTTTGATACTGTGATTACTTTCTTAGTATGTTGTCGAAGATATTGTTTGCGCCATTGCGATTGTTTTTTTATTTTATTTCACCTGCGCTTCAAAGAAACAGCAATACTTAAAATTTAACAAATTAGTTTTGTAATTTTACATAAGCCAAAATATCTCAAAATATCTCAGAGCCGTGGTAGCTCAGTGGTTAACGCTCGCTGTAAATATAACAGAACGCGAGTAACCCGGGTTCGATCCCCGCCGGCACCAATGAAATTGTTAGTTGCAATTTTAAGTGCTGATTTACCACGTGCTCGGCGGTGAAGGAAAACATCGTGAGGAAACCTGCATGTCTGAGGAATAAGAAAAAAAAATATTTCGAAGACATGTGAAGTTCGTCAACACGCGTTTGGGCAGCGCGGCGGACACTTCCTTGCCCTAAACCCTCTCAGAAATGAGGGGAGGCCTGAGCCCAGCAGTGGGACGTATATAGACTGTAACTTTACTTTTTTACTTTACAAAATATCTCGTTTGTCAAATTTTCTGCATGATTTCCTTCTTTTTCTCATTTCCTCACTTTCATCGCTAAGCACGTGCTAGATTTCTCCGACAGAACATCAGCGCTGCGGAAACTCTGTTATTGTAGCACCATGCTGTCTGTCAGTAGCTTTTTTGTTGCTGCAATTTAGATTTAGATTTTGTTTAATATTTAGCTAAGTATTATTTTTTAGTAAAATTGATGTTTTGCAAGTTGCACAAGTAAAAATTGTATGTATAATTGTAATTGTGTACTACTTTTATTTAATATTCTACATAAGTATGTTAAATCTTAATATATATAAATTACGTGTCACGTTGTTTGTCCGCGATAGACTCCTAAACTACGTAACCAATTTTAATCAAATTTGTATTCTGTGTGCAGTTTGGTCCAACTTGAGAGATAGGATAGTTTTTTTTTTGCCCATGAGTGGCCCACAATTAGTTTTTGCGAATTTAATAATTTTTAATGGGACATGACAAGGTCGTCGAAAGGGCAGAACAACGTCTGCCTGGCAAGCTAGTATTAGTATACTAATGCAGCCCGGCGGTGAAATGTTACAAGAAAAGTGTTTTTTTATACCGTACTAAATTTGTTGAAGTGTTACTTCAATAAATATGTTCCTTCTTTCTTTTTTTAAATAAGGCAAATACGTTACGTGCTAAAAAATCAAAATCTAAGTTTTCGCAATGGTTCTGTATAACTTTCGTCCTTCTTTTTATCAGCGCGTAAAAGTGCACTGCTGTATTTAGAGCTCTCCTGTCACAGCTAGAAAATGCCATTATCGTAAGTAGTAGTTTGATGTTGCTACCCGTCGCCGCTCTAGGTATTCCACATCTGGCTTAAACAAGATGGTTTTACTGCTATATACCGTGATGTGTTTCTGGAATTGTCCAATTTTTAAATGACGTGGAGTGACAATCGAGTACACAGTCTACCTGATGGTAAACAAATATGCTATGAAGCATAACAAATATGCTATGACGCATAGTCATCTATGTTTATCCTCGAATAAGAAACAAAATGAAGATGCGTTGTCACCCTTGAGGACTAAGATGGAACGCCTCGTTTCCAGTTAAAGGGTCTCCGGTTCTCTACACTCACCATATGGAACCCAGCAGGCTATTTTACTCTGGTATTCTGTGAGAAAGTGGTCATTCCCTGTTCGAGCCGACCCATTCGTGCTACAACCATAAAATGGCTGCAGCACGACTCTATGTGTGACTCTATATGTTATGTACAATGTATTACCACGCCACTGCACTTTAAAAATGTTGTTAATGTCATCAAAGACTCCCACTTAAATTGCTTGTGCGAGGAATCCAGATAATTCCTGACAGTAGTCGAACGAAGGAATCGAATCCACAACATTTTACCTAATATATATCTATCTCATATATACCTTAAGTATTTCATTCCACCAACGAAGGCTACTGTCACCGTCTTACTTTATTCGCATCATGACCATGTTACCAAACTTAGTTTACATCACAACGACAGAGTTTATGTATGTAATATGAGTTTTATATATATATATATATATATATATATATATATATATATATATATATATATATGTTATATATATATATATATACTATTAATAATGTTTCATAAAATTTCTGCGCTTTTAAAACACGATTAGCGAAATATGTATTAACGAATACCAACTGAGTTTCCTTAATTAGTTTGGTAAGGATCTGCTAGTTATATTATATTTTGTAAAAAAAATTCTTGTGCATTTATCGTTTTTGAAAAAGGATTCGCAATTGTTGCCATATTTGGCTTGTCAATCAGGCGTTTCGAATCTTAGAAGTTACTTTGAGGGTTGCCATCATATTCTTGTAGTGTCAATTGATTTAAACAACACCCAGGGTACAAGGTAAGGCGGTAAATTTTCGCACAAAGACGTTAACGAAACTGCGGAAGAAACTTATATCATACTTAGATATTACAGTATATTTTTTTAAATTTAAGCAAACTAAATCCATCAAAAACTGCATATCAACGTATATTACTGACTTTTCTTATCTCTCTTCATTTTTGAGGGGGATTTGGAACAGGCAAAAGACTGTTGCTATGGCCTCACATGTGTCCGTGGAAAAGTATTGAAGATATGAAAAGTCACGCTGTCCAGTAGGTTGTTAGTTGGTTCTTTAATTTATGATTTAAATTTGAATTTTTTTAAATAAAGGGCATTGTCTATGGGTCTAATTCAATTTTATTTTATTTTTAAATTTACTATTACATATTGTGTGTGGTCATTAATAATATAAGTTAAACAACACGCGCGCAAATATTTATTTTATTTTATCCTGGTGATCCTGATCAGAATAATAGGATAAAGTTATCAAATTATTGTATTGGCGTCGGTCCTTGATACTAATGCAAATTTTCAAGTCAATCGGCCGTCTACAAATTGGTGAAAATGACATCAATAGATTCCGTTACATAGATAGATAGATAGATTACGCGAAGCTAATAAAAACATGTAATAACAAAATGTAAACTAAAAACTAAAAATATAAAATAAAAACAGCAGCAAGATGATACTTGCGGGGTTAGTTTCGCCGTTTCTTCTCTGATCAGAGGAACAACATTTTTAGTTTTAGTTGAAAAATAGGACTAAATCTGAATGCTTACTTCGATTATAAAACGATTTGTTTTCGTTACTTCAGGAGTGCGTGTCATTTACGACAGAAACGGGGGATTGGCGGGAAAAATTATCACCACACTGCTCATAGGCGCCGTGCTGATCTCGTTGCTGTATTCCAGCAAGAGTATGCGGATGAACATTAATCTTGGAGGCTTTGTAAGTATCTAAATTTTACAGTAAAACCTCTCAGTTTCGGAATAGGCTCATATCCAGAAGTACAAAGAAAAGGAAACCTATCAAACTTATAGGAGATGTAAGACAGGGTGATTATATTGAATAAACCTTAATTTACGGATTATATCGCGTCTAATTACACGGTCACGGTCACGCGGGGGACTGAGATGTTTGACGTCCCAATGTCATTGTTAGCCCGGCTACCTTCATCAGTTCCCCCCGTGACCATGGGTGCTATAAAGCACTCGAAACGTCGGGAATTAAAAATAAGTAAAAGTAATTAATTAAACGCGAATCCGTAAATTTAGTTTCATTCAATTTGTAGTGTTCGCGTAAATTTAAGAAATTATTGGGATGATTATATCCCCGAAACACTTCAACGGTCCATTTGAAGACGTTTTCTATCTAATAGACAGGAGAAGATACGGTACCAACATCAATAGTAGGTAGGTACATCACTAACTTTATTTACCGACGATGTAATCCTGAGGTCCTCAGCTGTATGCTTAATGGCTTCAGAAGTGTATCCTAACGGATACGTCGTAAATGGAGCATGGACAAGTCACACCTCTGCACGTAGTTGTTGAGAGCACTACGCTCGATGTTGTTGACGAGCACGTAAACCTAGGCTCAATTTGAAATAATACTAGTTTTTACGGAATTTATCGCGTATATTTAACTTTTAAATACCCGACGTTTCGAACGCTTTACAGCACTCATGGTCACGGGCAGGACTGAGATGTTCAACGTCCATATGTCATAGTTAACCGCGGTTACCATAGATTAAAATTTAACTTTTGTTCCGATCTATGCAGTATGAACTTATGGTATCTTGAAGTCTTGCAGTTGTATGCTTGGGTTGGGATTTAATTTTATTTATTATAGGATCACAAGCAGATGGTAGCACCCAGCCATCTTCTCTATTGAAATTAGGATGTTTTTTGATTTCAATAGCCTCGCGAATCATCCTTGGAAGGAATCGGTGTTCTTTAGCGAGGATCTGCGGTCTTTCAAATCTGATGTAGTGACGGGGGCGATCCTGTACGTGTTCACAGACTGCGGAACATATAGCTGATGTGAAGAATCGACGCTCCGGGAAGTCTGCACCCATGGGACTAAATAGTGTGATAGATTCTCTTATGATCGATTGTTTCCAAGATACGATAAAACATTTTTATTTATAAAACATTCATTTTTTTATTGCGTAATGTTGCTTTTGAAAAAGTCGCGCTGGGTTTATTCCTGGTTCTTCCCACTACAGACACTTTTCGCAAACCAGTAGCGAATGTAACAAAAACGAACGTTACTAAGAAATAATTATTATCTGTACATATTAAATAAAAAATATTCTATTCATTAAAATATTGTATGTAGAAATGTGATTAGTGTAGCGAAGTGGTGAGGAATGAATTGTGGTCAGCACTGTCCGTGAACGGTGTGAGCAGTGTCCTCATACGAGCATTGCAATCTCTTTATAGGGATTCTAGTGCTTGTGTAAGGATAAACGGGGCATACACTGAGTTTAGTATCGAAAAAGGTGTTAGACAGGGATGTGTAACGTCACCGTGGCTGTTTCATGGACAATTGTTTGACAGATTTCAAAGAGAATGAAAGTGGGTTGAGAATGAATGAGTTACTTGTTAAATGTTTTCTCTATGCTGATGACCAAGTATTACTTGCGTCTTCGGCCGAGGAGTTGCAGGAGATGGTAACTGCTATGAGTGGAGCTTTTGTTAGAAAGGGAATGAAGATGAATGTAAGGAAGACGAAAGTGATGGTGTTTGAAAAAGATGAGGCAGTGACAGACTGCAATATCGTGATTGAAGATGAACAAATTGAACAGGTGAAAGAGTTTGTGTATCTGGGGTCAAAGTTTACAAGAGATGGAAAGTGTGAGAGTGATATCGAAAGAAGAGTGAATGCATAAAACATGGTGAATGGAGCTTTGCACTCCTTTATGAGCAGTCGGAAAGTGTCTAACAAGGCTCGTTTGGCTGTGCATGAGGGGGTGTTGGTTCCGACACTCATGTACGGAAGTGAAAGTTGGGTATGGCAGAAGAAACATGAAAGTAGAATAAATGCAGTTGAGATGAGAGCATTAAGAAGTATGATAGGAGTTAAACTGAGTGACAGGATAAGAAATAGTGAGATAAGGAAACGTTGTGGTCTGAAAGAAGACGTAGTGACAAAAATTGAGAAAGGTATGCTGAGATGGTTTGGCCACATCGAGAGAATGAATGAAGAACGATTGACGAAAAAAGTGTATAAGGCGAGTGTGAATGGAAGTGCTGGAAGGGGTAGACCTACGCGGACTTTTCTAGACCAAATTAGGGACGTCTTGAAAAAAGGCCAGTTAAGAGTACCCTAAACTGTAGAGCATGTATGAAGGGAATAATGAAAGTAGACGAAGCGAAACAAGTATGTAAGGATCGTAGCAAGTGGAAAGAAGTGGTCTCTGCCTACCCCTACGGGAAAGAGGCGTGATTATATGATGATGATTTTTTTTTCATGTTTTTTTTCCGTAACCATGTTACACGTATAATAAGACTAACATTATTATAGAGTCAACTAAGCCGCGCCAAGTTCACTCTGGTGGATTCAATGAGCGGTCAGGGCAAAGGAGTCAAGTTCGAGGACGTGGCTGGTCTTAGAGAGGCCAAAATCGAGGTCATGGAGTTCGTGGATTACTTGAAGAGGCCTGAATATTACAAGAGGCTAGGTGCTAAGGTAAACTTAATATAGCTATCCTTTGCTGGCGTGATAGAGCCTTAATGGCTCATTTATGTCAGTACCTTAACTCGTTACGTGGTAGAGCCATATTGCAGCTATATTAGTAGTATAGTTGTACCATGAATGGGTCGGTTCGACCGCGGTGGGACCACGCTTTCACAGAATACCAGCGTAAAATAGCAGCTAAACGCTGCTGTTTTTCGTATGGTGGGTGTAGAGAACCGGAGACCCTTTTTACTGAAAGGGGGGGCATACCATTTTAGTCCTCACGGATGACAACACTTTTGAATTTTGATGTTTTTTGATGAATTTTGGCGTGTGTGCTCCTTTCGTCATGAGAGAGTTTTTGTGGGGGGGGGGGGGTAACTATCGATGAAATTTCTCAAATCTTAAATGAATCCTAGAGTGACCATGAGCCACTATAATTTTTATGTAAATTTTTCAAAATCGACTAGTGCCATAAAATTACTTTTAATTTGTACTTTTAAATTTTCGCGCAATAACGCTAGCTGCCATGCTGTTTAGCTCATGACGTCAGTGTCCTAGTATTGTACCGATTTTGCAAAGGAATAAAATATTTTTGATCACTAATGTGTTGTGTTTGAATGCCCAAATATGAGCATAAGAACGCTGGGAAAGTTGTGGATTCAAGTGCCAACTGATTTAAATATGAGAAATACTTTGTTAAAACTAGCAAGAAGATACCTAAATACCCGATACAAAAACTACATAGACTATATTTCTGTCAAAATAATTTTGATTTAATTATGACTTATATTTAACTGTCATTTTTACAAAAGAAAACATAAGGTGATACATATGGCAAGTCAAATTTTGTAATACATTAGGTTATCTTGCCGTGTAGTGACGGTTGAGAATATCTACTACTCCATATCTTCCCGTGGGTGTCGTAAAAGGCGACAGAGGGAGACAGGCAGGAGATGGGCAGCAGCATCTTCCTGATAACAGCAACTGTACAATAAAAATCTGCGGTTGCCAACCCGCTCCTCTTATCTACGGTGGCGACCATGGTAACGGTGGAACAGGGGGTGCTAAGAATCTCCGGTGGAAGTTCGGTTGCCACCTACGACGACTCGACCAGGCAACATATAACGCACGCACCCTGAGGCATGACGAGAAAGATACTGGAGCTGGAAGAAGAGGTAGACAAGTTGCGCTGGCATATTTTAGGATTATCCGAGTTCGAAGAGAGGGGGAGGACACGGTAATCCTTGAATTTGGCAACTTGTTCTATCACCGGGAGGGCGACCATCTGTCCCAAGGAGGTGTCGGATTTATCGTCCACAAGTCTCTCGTCAAAAACTTTGTAAAGATTGGGAGTGTGTCCAAACCCAACGGTATTCGCTGAAGGTCATACAGGTTTACGCACCAACCTCAAAACATCCCGTGGCGAAAATGTATGAGGATATCTCAAGAGCCATGCATTCCTCCAAAACCCACTATACGGTGTTGGAGACTTCAACGCAAAGATAGGACCTAGCCCCGACGGTTCGACACAAAATGAGATTGACTTCATTATGACGACCAGACGTCAACTGTTCAGTGATGTATCAGTGATCACGAGGGTGAAAACTGGCAGCGATCACCGAATGGTTAGAGGCACACTGAACCTAAACGTTAAGTTGGAGAGATCTCTATAATGAAGTTAACAAACTCCGTCCTCCTCATACAAGGGTCCAGGGTCCCGAAAACTTTCAGCTCGAACTACAAAACCTTTTTAGTGCCTAGAAGACTGCAATACCGTGGACGATATGAATAACAAGCTCGTGGAAACTGTTGATGCGGTCGGAGCTAAGTTCTCCACGAACACAACACCTCTCCGATCACACCCTTAATCTCATGGTTGTTTGACGGGAAATTAAGCTGCAGTCTTCAGTAGATTTGACAGCATACAGGCAACTGAACGGACAGATCTCCAAATACACGCGGCGGGACTTACGCAACTTCAGTACAACTCGTATTGAAGAAGCGATTAAGCAAAACCTGGGCTCCAAAGTCTTTGGCAGAGATCTTTCTGCCAGAAAGAGCCAACTGTCGAAGCTGAAGAACGAGTGTGGCAGCATCGTTTCCGGGACACCAGAGTATTTGAGTGAGATTGAGAGGTTCTATGGGGAGCTGTAAACATCATCGGTAGAGCTACACGCAAATGTGAGTAACGATGCAAGAGCAAGTCTTATCCGACTATTCCGATGATATCCCGGACGTCAGTCTGAGCGAGATTAGAATGACTCTACAGCACCTTAAAAGCGGCCAGTCTACGAGTGAGGATGAAATTACAGTAGAGCTTCTGAAAGCGTGTAGAAAACCGGTACTTAAAGTTCTTCAGAAGCTCTTTAATTCCGTCCTCCATGGTGGCACTATTCCCGAGGCGTGTAGCAGAAGTGAGGTGGTGTTATTCTTCAAGAAGGGTGACAACGCTCTCTTGAAGAACTACAAACCGATATCCCTTCTGAGCCGCGTCTATGTGCTGTTTTCAAGAGTCATAACGAATCGTCTCGCACACAGACTCGACGACTTTCAGCCTCCCGAACAAGCCAGTTTCCGAAAAAGCCTTACCACCATAGACCACATATATAACGTTTGGCAAATTGTACAGAAGACAGAAGAGTACAATCTACCACTTTGCCTGGCGTATGTGGACTTTAAGAAAGTCTTTGATTCCGTCGAAATTTGCGGTGCGGTGCTAAACAGGGAGGATCCCTCAATTGCGAATTTAGATACTAATTACAAAAATCGATTTATAAAATATAAAATCGAGTGACAATAGAGAGGGGTTGGTAGAAAGGGGCGGATTCTCAGATAATCAAGCAGTTCGATTGACGTCGACTGAACCATTTCACCATCTATCGACGATCGATCGATTAGTATGGAGCATCCTTAGTCACAACAATTAGTTACGCAATGTAATATTAACTGTTAAGAGCTAGTTAAACATTGGTTCAGATAACACTTAAATGACCTGGGAATAGTTGTGTGACCCATGTCATTACCCAGGTTGATGATTGAATTATATTCTTTTCTATTTGTATTCCTCGAATGCGCCTCATAGCGTGATTTTCAGAAATCACTATATATTGATACATAGAGCAACGGATCGGAGGGGAGCAGCTACACGCAGGCGTTTTCTTCCTTTCAAATTACAAGTTCACTCGGTTCTATGCGTATAATAAAACTAGTTTCAGTCGCACTTTTCTTTAGATTAAGTCTCGTTGCGCGGCTGAATTGACGTCCTACAAAAATGCCGAATTGTTCTATTTTTTTTTTACTGCGAGGAGAGATCTGTAACGTCAAATTTACAAATAAATGGGGTTCTATAAGTAACTTTTAATCGCATTATTGCTATTTACTTCTTTTTAAACTTAAATTAATTTTGTCAAAAGTATATGAAAAAATTATGCATACTAAACTCACATCGTTCTTTGACAAGTATCATGTCCTGAATCCCACTCAGTATGGGTTCCAGAGGGGAAAATCTACTACACATGCTGTTTTCGATATGGTAAATGAGACACTAATGTGCCTTAATGCTAATAATTATACAACTGCACTCTTCTTTGACATGTCGAAGGCTTTCGATTTTGTCTCACATAATTCATTACTGGTAAAATTGGAAAAATGTGGCATTAGAGGCACTGCTTTAAGTTGGATTAAAAGTTACTTGCAAAATAGACGTCAATCTGTTGAAATAAGCAAACCAGACAGTAATCATGTGGTCCTAAATCACAAATCAGATTTTAAAGAAAACAAATATGGAGTTCCACAGGGTAGCGTTTTGGGACCACTGTTGTTCTTAGTATATATAAATAATCTTCCGGATGTAACTAAACACAAATGCATTTTATTTGCTGATGACATATCTGTAATAGTAAAAACAGATTGTAAACAATCACTTAAAGATCACATTAATGATATTAACAGTACTGTAAAAACAATAATAGAATGGCTTAAAAATAACAACCTACTTGTAAATCTTGACAAAACTTATTTTATAAATTTCAATGACATATTATAACAGACAATGAACATTAATTTTGAAGGACAAACACTAAAAAGTACAAATATGACAAAATTCTTAGGTATATGGATTGATCAAAAACTAAATTAGAAATGTCAAGTTGAACATGTATGTAAAAAAGTAAATAGATTTTCGTACGCACTTTATAAACTAAGCAAAGTAGCCACAAAAAATACGGCACTTACTGCGTACTTTGCATATGTGGAATCCGTACTGCGATACGGGCTTATTATATGGGGCAATAGCACAGATGCAAAAAAGGCATTCATTGCCCAAAAAAAATGTATTAGAGCAATATGTGGCGCTGCACCTGATGAGCCTTGCAGGCCGCTATTTGTATCTCTAAAAATACTACCACTCCCATGCCTGTACATTTTTGAAATTGCAAAATTTGTAAAACAAAACATGTATTATTTCAGACAAGCAAAAGAGGTTTATACGCAAAATACCAGAAATGGCAATAGACTTGCTGCTGAAATTATACCCAAGAGTGCTCGGTTTAAAAAAAATTGCTTCTGGATGTGTATGCTCATATTTAATAAAATACCCCGACATATCAAAGACTTGCCCCTTAATAGATTTAAAGGCGCCCTTTACAGGTGGCTAAATGATCATTGTTTTTATAATGTGAATGACTACCTAAATTTGACATGATGTGACACAACAGTAGTTATATATTTTTAATTGCATTTTCAAT